ACATTATTTTTAATTATCATTTTTAATTAGTTTTTCGATGATCCATTATTACTGGCTATGGCGCAGTCTGACGTTCTTGGTGGATATACACTCTGAGATCTACACATTGAGAAATATTGTCGCGTTTGTAATAGCCTAAAAATAGTTAATCAATGCAATGTAATAAACGTAATAAATACGGGAATGGGAAATAATTAATTTCTATATGACCTTTTATATGAAAGAGTAACAATCGTAGATTTGATTTAACTTAAAATTATTAAGCCAATAAAAAATGTACACGCATAACCACATAAAAATCAGCGAATCAACAAATTCCACATATCAATCACAGATCGATGGCTCAAATATTTAAACTTGAAAAAAAAGCGAGTCAAAAATTCATTCCTCCTCCCATCAAAAGAATACTAGAAACGACTCGAATAAATCGTATTTGGTTAAACTGCCTTGTTAGCCAGTTATCCATAAACGATGAAGTATAATCTCCATATTCTCGCTTTATTCTTCGCTTCGGCATTCGTAGCCAGTACATATGCAGATCCTTCAGAGTCGTCTACTAACGAAAAAATAGACGAAAAACCAGAATTTAAGGTAGAATAAAATTGCGTCATAGACGATTTTGACTGGTGTCATATCTCCTTTCCTTCTTCGTATTAGCTATAGCAATTAGCTTAATAATTGCGGTTGATCCCCTCGAACCATATACACATAAAGCAATGTTTGTTAAATGCATTATTATCCTTTTTCCTTTTATTTATATCGATTTATTTATTTTTTTTAAAATTATCTTTAGAAAAAGTGTATTTCTCTATTTATATATGATATAATTAATAATTGAATTTTAATCAATATTTTTTTTAATATTTTTTAACTTCGTAGCCAACAAAAATTAAGGCACATTTCTTGGAACAATTCACAAGTGACTGGTCAAGCCGATGGTCACCCAGTAGTGCAACAAAAGAAACCAAAGAAGGAGGTGAAGTCTTTAGTTACGTTGGAAAATGGGAAGTTGAAGAACCTCGCGTCTTTGCTGGTATAAAGAATGATCACGGTCTAGTCATGAAAAGTCCGGCTGCCCATCACGCTATATCTGCACCTTTAGGAAAACCATTGGATAACAAAGATAAAACGCTAGTCATTCAGTTAGTATAATTTTTTTTTATAATTATAATTCATATAATTCATAATTAATAAAATCAATATTTATTTTGAATTTTGAATATTTTAGATATGAAGTTAAATTTCAAGATGGACTCGAATGTGGTGGTGCTTACTTAAAACTTTTGACCGAATCTGAAAAAGGAATTCAAGCAGTAGAATTCTCAGATAAAACACCTTATACGATTATGTTTGGACCTGATAAATGCGGTAGCACGAATAAAGTTCACTTTATCTTTCGGCACAAAAATCCTAAAACTGGTGTATATGAAGAAAAACATCTGAAGAGTGCTCCATCAGCAACAATTAGCAAGCTCAGTACTTTATATGGTCTTGTCGTGAGGTAAGTGCATCATAAGGATGTTATTCTAATTTGAAATTATTATTTACTAAAAACATAACTCGCATAATTTATAGACCTAATAACACGTTCGAAATTCGCGTTAATAATGAATCAGTTAAGACTGGAGATCTCTTGAATGATTTTACACCTGCTGTAAATCCACCAAAAGAAATTGATGACCCTAATGGTACGTGTTTTGATTAATTTATAAAAATTTATTAAATTCTTTTTTCTTTTTGATTCATTATTAATTAAAAATTTAAAATATATAGACAAGAAACCTGCT